TGGAGGACAGATTAATGCATCTAAGGAGGGAGAAAGACTGAAAAATTTATTCCTAAGATACTCAGGTCCAAAAACCAAAACATCAGTCTTGTCTGTTCAACAGGAGAAAATTAAGGGTCATCCATGTTTTTATGTCTTTGACATGTTTATAGTCTAATTAACTGATTGGATTAATTTGGTTTCATGACAAATATAACTGTGCATCATCAGCATAACAATGAAAATGTATCCCATGCTGTTTAATAACATTATCTAATGGGAGCATATACAAGGTAAAGAGTATTCGTCCAAGCACTGAACCTTGAGGAACTCCCTGACTAACTTGGGGGGGATGTATGATTAAGATTCATTATTTACATTTACAAACTGGAATCTATCAGATAGATATGATTTAAACCAATTTAGAGCTGTTCCTGTAATTCCAACATCATATTCAAGCCTCTGCAGTAAAATATTGTGATCAACTGTATCAAATGCAGCACTGAGGTCCAACAGGACCAGTATAGACACAAGTCCATGGTCTGAGGTCATGAGAATACCATTAGTATCATTAGTTTTAGTTTATTGTTGTCATTGTCTACAATTTTGTTGTCTGTACTTTATATGTTCTGTCTGGAACAGGTCCCTCTTGCAAATGAGTCCCCGTGGCTCAGTCTTAGCCTGTATAAATAAAGGTTGAATGAATGAAAAAAGGTGACTTTCATCAGTGCAGATTCAGTTCTGTGGTGAACTCTAAACCCTGACTGAAACTCTTCAAACAGATTATTTCTTTGTAGTTGTTCACGCAACTGACCTGCAACTATTTTCTCTAGAATTTTTTAGATGAAAGTTAGATTAGATATAGGTCTATATTTGTCTAGGATTCCTGAGTCAAGGTTATGTTTCTAAGGGTGCATTCACACCAGCCCTGTTTAGTCCGCTTTAATCGAACTCTAGCTCGTTTTCCTAGAAAGTCCGGCTCGTTTAGGGAGGTGTGAACGCACCATCGAACTCTGTCACGGAACAAAAAGGCGAACTCTGGCCCGGGCTAAAACTTAGGTCTCGGTCAGGTAGAAATGAACTCCAGCGCAGTTCGAGTACAGTGTGAATGCAAACAGACTGGGACCCGCTCCGCAGGGTAAACAAACACATTTCTCTGACCTTATATGGAGCCGTCAGCTGCCTTGTGTGGAAAAACAATATTCTCCATGGTCTTCTGTCTCATCTTCTGCTCATGCTAAGTCCATTTTTGAAAAATGACAAAATATAACTCCTAAAACTGCTAAAACTTGATGCCAATTCGTTTTTATTTTTATTTGCAGAAGAAGAAGAAGACGTGTCTTCAGAGGTTTTGTGTCGTTTTTTTCAGTAGTTCTTGGTGCAGCGCCCCCACAGGTGAGCGGGGGAACAGGTTGGTTCAACAGGTTGACTCGACTGCACAGTGCAGTGTGAATGCAAACGCACCAGCTAAAATGTAAACAAAAGCTCATGAATATTGGTCCCGAACCGAACCGAGTCTATCGGACTGTCTGGTGTGAAAACGACCTTAAGTACATGTTTAATTATAGCAATCTTAAAGCTTTGTGGTACGTAACCGTTTATTAGAGACAAATTAAGCAGATCCAAGACGCGGTTATTAATTAAGGGAAATAAGTCTTTAAATAGCCTGGTTGGGATGGGATCTAGCAGACATGTGGATAGTTTGGATGAAGCTATTATTTTTGACAATTCAGAGAGCTCAACAGGATAAAAACAGTCCAAACTTAAATCAAGTTCTAGTGACATTTTTTAAAGTTATCTCGTCTGACACGGAACCAGAGGCGATACTAGGAATGTTGGTTTGAATTTTTCCCCTAATTGAAACTATTTTATTTATAAAAAATCTCATGAAGTCATCACTACTTATAGTTTTACAGATACATGAATCAACAGAGATAGGAGTTTTCATTGGACTAGCTAGACTACTGAAAAGGAACCTGGGTTATTTTTATTCTCATCAATTAAGGATGAATAATATAAAGTTCTAGCTTTACAGAGTGCTTTTTTGCACGTTGGCAGGCTATCTCTCCAGGATAAGTAAGATTGCTCATCGTTAGCGGAGTTCTGTTCTGTTTTAAAGTATGTAATTCAGAATTGAACCAAGGAGCTAATCTCCTCTGATTCATTACTTTCTTTATCAACGGAGCAGTTTTATCGAGTGAAGTTTGCAAAGTAGTTGTAAAATTATCAACTAGATGAACTAAGTCACTGCTCTCTGATGAATTACTCTGCAAGACAGAGGAAAACAATGGAAGAGAATTTTAAAATTTGGTTACAGTATTTGCTGATAAACATCTGCTAAGGTGAAATTTGCTCTCAGTGACTGTGTAGACATTTAATGGAAACTCAAATGTAATAAAAAAAAAGGTCTATAAAAATTTTAAAATTATATAGCACCTTTCTATCTTATCAATATACTCAAAGCTCTTTACAGCACAATCTGTTGCATTCGGGCCCAAAAAATCCAATCGACCCGGCCCCAGCCTTAAGTCACAATTTCCGAACCTCACCCGACCCGACAAATTAATAGTAATTACAGGTCCGAACCCAGAACCCCCCCGACATTTGTAATAAGTTATTAACAGTCGGGGGACTGAATAAAAGGGGCAGAATATCGGAGCTCCTTTCATGGCCGTAAAACAGCATTTAAACCCTGTTTCTGCCTGCATTCTTCTGCATTACTGAGACACGCAGACAGCTCTGACACACGTCTGCTTTGGGATACACCTGTCGTCTGGGACGCGCGGCTGAATAAAAGGTGCAGAAGATCGGAGCTGAGGGGGTGTTTGTCCTTTCATGGCCGTAAAAGAGCATTTAGCAGTCCATCTGAAGCTTAACTGAACTTTTTACATCTTTCAAGGCCGGTCAGCTCGTGGTGAAATGGCCATGTGTGGCTGGTGAATGTCCGTCCGTCCATCATCTTCCGCTTATTCTGAAGTCGGGTTGCGGGGACAGCAGCTTGAGCAGGGAGGCCCAGACATCTCTCTCCACAGCCTCTTCCAGCTCTTCTGGGAGGATTCCAAGGTGTTCCCAGGCCAACCAAGAGAAATAGTCTCTCCAGCGTGTCCTGGGTCTTCCCTGGGGTCTCCTCCCAGTTGGGAATGCCCGAAGCACCTCCCTAGGGAGGTGTCCAGGAGGCATCCTTACCAGATACCCAAACCACCTCAACTGGTCTTTTCAACGTGGAAGAGCAGCGGTTCTACTTCGAGTCTCTCTTGGATAACTGAACTTCTCACCCTATCTCTAAGGGAGAGTCCAGCTACCCTGCGGAGAAAACTCATTTCATCCGCCTGTATCCACGATCTCATTCTTTTGGTCACTACCCAGAGCTCATGACCATAGGTGATGGTAAGAAAGTAGACCGACTGGTAAACAGAGAGATTTGCCTTACAGCTCAGCTCTCTCTTCACCACAAAAGACTAGAACAGAATCTGCAATACTGCAGATGCTGCACCAATCCGTCTGTCAATCTCACGCTCCATTCTTCCCTCACTCGTAAACAAAACCCAGAGATACTTGAACTCCTCCACTTGAGGCAGAACTTCATCCTCAACCTGAAGAGAGCAATCCACCCTTTTTCTGATTGAGGACCATGGCCTAAGATTTGGAGGAGCTGATTCTCATCCCAGCTGCTTCAAACTTGGCTGCGAACCGCTCCAGTGAGAGCTGAAGATCACGGCAATACAACGCCAACAGGACCACATCATCTGCAAAGAGCAGAGATGGAATCCTGAGGCCACCGAACCGGAAACCCTCCACTAGCTGGCTGCACCGAGAAATTCTGTCCATTAAAGTTATGAACAGAATCGATGACAACGGGCAGCCCTGGTGTAGTCCAACTCCCACCCTGAAGGGGTCCGACTTACTGCCGGCAATGTGAACCAAACTCTCGCACTGCTCATATAGTGACTGAACAACCTGTAACAACGGGCCTCCAATCCCATAATCATAGAGCACCCCCACAGTGTACCCCGAGGAACACGGTCAAATGCCTTCTCCAAGTTCATAAAACACATGTAGACTGGATGGGCAAACTCCCATGACTCCTCAAGGACCCTAATGAGGGTAAAGATCTGATCCGGTGTTCCACGGCCAGGACGGAACCCACATTGTTCCTCCTGGATCTGAGGTTCGGCCAATGATCAGACTCACTTCTCATGTACCCCTGAATAGACCTTACCAGGTAGGCTAAGGAGAATGATGCCCTATAATTGGAGCACACCCTCCGGTCCCCGTTTTTGAAGAGAGGAAGAACCACCCCAGTCTGCCAATCCAGTGGCAGGCCATGTTATCATATAATTGGATTGCAGCTGATCCTAATCCAATTTAAAACCTGACACCGACCCGGCCCGCCCATCCAGCACATTATCATGGCATAGCCCTCCCCGAATTCGGGTCGGGTGGGGCCAGGCTTAGGGCTCAGGTTAGAAATGACAGCTCTACCCTCATTTATCCATTCATACAGCACACTACTTATGTTTTACAAAGAATCATGAGAGCTTTATCACATTCAAACACCGACGGGACACACATTGGAGTCAATGAGGGGTTCAGTGTCTTGCCCAGGGACACTTGCTGGTGGAATCAAACCCCCAACTCTTGCATTGCTGGGTGACTGCTCTAACCACTCAGCCACAGCCGCCCAGGGTAATGAGCTGGGTAAGAAGGTATTATTCTCTGGCCCATCCAGCTGGAACACACTTCAGCAGGATCAGAGGCTGTCCAGTCTCGTTACCCTCAACACATTTAAAAATGTAATGAAATAATGAGAACAAATCCAGAACCACCTGCTTCTGTTTCTGAGTTTTACTATGGTTGTTATTGTTATGTCTGAGGTATACTTTTATTGCTTTTATTATGCTTTTATTGATATGTATTTTATACAAATGTATTTTATTGATGTTATGGTTTCATTTTAGTATAACAGGTCTCTCTTGCAAATGAGACAATTGTGTTTCAATGAGACTAACCTGTATAAATAAAGAAAATGAATGAAGTACATAGAAATGTTTAACGAATGGGTCCTTTACAAGACAACTTGTACTTACTTGTTTAAGCAGAAGTCCATTGTTGCTGAAGACAGCTAGCGGGGTCCCAGTGTTGTCACAAGCAATGTAAAACTCATCCCCACTGCTGATTTCCATAGCAAACACATGACCCTGCGCACAAACACACACACACATGGAGTTTCACTGGATTCATTCAAGGTGAGAAGTTTTTTTGATGAATAAACTTTATGTATCACAATAAGCAATAAAACATAGTTTTAAAAACCACCCCTATTTTCAGTAGATTGGTACCCTTGCACTCAGAAGCACAGCTCTTCATCACAGTGAAACAGCTGAAGTGTTAATAGTTTCCATCAGTTGTCTCATCAGGAGGGTACTCAGGAGAAAATAATCCCCCTCCCTGTGACGCTGTAGTCATTTTCCTCCCTCATTCATTCATTCAACATTTATTTCTACAGGTTAGTCTCATTGAGCCTCGAGGACTCATTTACAAGCGAGACCTGATTTAAACAAAGAATGATGACAACAATGGACAATCATAAAATAAAACATATAAATTGAAGAAAAAAACATAGAAGAAAATGATATTAAAAAACATAAAACAGCTAGATTATAAGGCAAATGTAGAAAACTAAAAACAGGAACATGTCTGCATTGGATTTTCCCATGAACTTAGCAGATGTTTGAAGCCACTCAGAGAGGTCAAGGTCGAGAGCTTCAGGTCTTTTTGTAAGATGTTCCAGGAAACAGGAGCGGAGTAGGAGAAGGCCCTTTTACCTTGTTCAGAGTGCACTGCGGGAACACTGCAGGTAATAAAGTCCTGAGAGCGCACGCTGTAGCTGCACTCACACAGCGACGTAGGAGGAGATGTATGGTGAAGTTAATGATGACCAGTTAACCAGGGAATACAGGGTGCAATGGTGGATGCAGTAGTTTCAGCCAGTTATGAATCTTAGCACACCATGATAGACAGCATCCAACATCTGCAGGGTGCTTGTAGGCCGGATCTACCATACGGGCAATCTGGGCACATGCCCAGGGGCCCCTGGCACAAAGGGGCCCTCGGCCAGCATAGTTTTTTGTGCCGCATCAAACACTTGGCGGTCTGACTCCCCTCATCTGTGTGATACAGCACGGTGGGGGAGGATGGTGAAGCTGATCACAGTAACGGTCGCGATGGGGCACAGTGAATTTCAGATTTTCAAAATAAAACACAAAACCCGATAAAATTCACATATCTCACATTATTCCTGGTGCTTTTACTGTAGAAACGTTTCTCCAAGAAACTTCCGGTCCGACACTGAAAGTATCAGTAATAGAACGTACCACGTTTTTTTTTTTCTAAGTTATTTGCATTCAGTTTTTCAAAGCTAACGTTTTTGTTTAAACATGAAGTTTACTAAAATGTCCTACCAGAGTTCAGGTCCTGCTTTTCACAGCTGCACAAACAACCAGACCGAGCTAAAGCTACAACACCAGTGTTTTGAACATGGACCCAAAACTAAAAAGATTGTTCCTGTGAAACAGTATGGTTTCCATCTTCTACCTACAGATGACGAGTTAAGAAGAATGTGGCTGAAAAATGTGAACTTGAAGAAAACACCCAAAATACTGTTTGTGTGCTCATTTTTTAAACAAACAGTCGACGGACTCAGAGTTTCATACACTTCCTGTCCTGATCCTGCCTACAAAAAGAAAAAGACCTTGAAGAAGAACTGAAGAGCCACTGTGCTTCCTGTGAAGTGAGTAGACCAATAAACTGTTGTGACTGTGCAGATAATACAGGTGCTGGTCATAAAATTAGAATATCATGAAAAAGTTTGTTTATTTCAGTAATTCCATTCAAAAAGTGAAACTTGTATATTATATTTATTCATTACACACAGACTGATATATTTCAAATGTTTATTTTAATGTTGATTATTATAAATGACAACTAATGAAAGCCCCAAATTCAGTTTCTCAGAAAATTAGAATTTTACTTAAGACCAATTAAAAAAAAGGATTTTTAGAAATGCTGGCCAACTGAAAATTACGAGCTTCTACAGCACTCAGTACTTAGTTGGGGCTCCTTTTGCCTGGATTACTGCAGGATATATATACACACATACATATGTACTATATATATATATATATATATATATATATATATAGTAAATAAAAGTAAATAAATACTTTGTACATAAAAAAAAATGACAACAACAATTGAACTTTTATTTTGTAGTCAGTGGCTTTTACTTTCCATTCAAGAGGCATGTCAGAGCCACACTGGAAAGCGTGGAGTTCCAAGTTGCATCAGGTGTTCTGTTTATGAAACCATATTCATTTGAAGATTAATTTCACTCCCCTCCCTCCTGAGGGTCATCAGGGTTTTTGTTTGCTTGGCTCAAAAGCGAGATGTTTTAGTCTGCACATGTGAATTAGAGTGGAACTGACTGGGTATCAGGCTTAATGCTGCATTGTAAGTTTTTGAAAGTTAAAATGAGACCTCCTCCTCCTCCTGACAGACCTCTGCTGCTCAGATGGTCGACTACCACAAAGTGACTATCTGACACAGTCTGGATGACAATGCATTTGTGTTTCTTCGTTTCCTCCATGTTTTTTCATGGTGCACTTTTTAGATTTTCTCACGGACACTAGTGTGTTAAGATTCATTGTCCTGCTGGAAGGTGGACCTCTGTCCCACTCTCAAGTCTCTGGAAGACTCAAACATGTTTCCATCATAAATGTCTCTGTATTTTCTCTGTTCATGCTTTCTTTAACTCTGATCCGTTACCCAGGCCCTGCTGATGAAAAGTATCCCCTCAGCATGATCAGTGTTGCCAGATTGGGCGGTTTTCATTCTGATTTTGTGAGGAAAAATTGCTTTGGGCGGGTGGGGATAATTTTGGAGTCAGATTAGCGGTTTTTGAGTTAACCTATTAAACAAATTTTAAACAATCATTCATCATTACTGGTTCAAAGCTCCCCTGACCTTTCTCCATCACTGATTGGCATCATCGTCATCTCTGCCAGGGTGTTCACAACAGAGAACTGGTGAGGCAGTTTTAGTGGACGCCTAGCTGAGTGGGGGGACCCATTGCTGTGGTACGTCGGAGCGGCCGCCATATTGGATGTGGCATAACTGCTGGTCAACTAATAAAGGAAATGCACTGAACTTTATAAAGCACCGTTCTACAAAGTGTTTTATGTTAATCCCTGTCATTCACACACAGGTTTGTTTATTGTTGTTGCTCTCTAAAATATTAATTTCAATTCAACCTTTATTTCTGCAGGTTATTGGTCTCATTGAGCCTCATCATTTACAAGAGAGACCTGTTTTTAATCAGTTTAATCAAATGTTTACAGATGTTTGACAACCTGTTAAAATATGCCAAAATGCAGGAAATGGCATCTCTTTTATTCCAAATTTTCTGGGGGAGGACCCACAGACCCCCCCCCCCCCCCAGACCACCTGCTGTTTTTGTTCCGACATCAGTTGGTTTACAAACTAAGTCCTGTCTCAGCATGATGAGAGGAGGTAGGACTGGACCAGACACGGTGTAGTTCTTGGTTTTAGTCTCATCTGACCACAACACTTTCTTCAGCATATTTGTGGAGAAACTCCAGAGTCTGACTTAATTTGATCACCTGCTGCCTGATTCATAACAGGAAGCCGAGATGTTTCCACTGATGTTTGAAAGGTTCTTTGGATTTTCAACAACAGCTCTAGGTCACATTACATCATATGTAGACGACCACTTGTACAAAAACTTTTCTTCAGAGCAAAGTGACCATTTCATTTTAGTGCACTGCGATTTTTACTTTTTAGGCTTACAGACCCCAGATCCATCAGGAATGGTACGACGTTCTCAGAATTGTGTCTGTCATTTACCTGCAGATCATAGTAGAAGGAGGTGATCTCGGAGCTGGAGTGGTTGTAGACATGAGTGATTCTTGTGGGGTAGTTTAAATCTGCATAGAAGAACTGAAAGTGATGGCCTAAAGTGTTCTTTGATGCCACGCGCCGACCCAAGCCATCGTAACGGTACTGGATGGTCCAACTGGCTGCTTTGCTGTACACACGAGTTAACAGACCTAAAACGAAACGGATCAACAGAAATAATTAAAGACGAGAATGCAACAGTTAGATGTCACAACAGGAACGAAATAAAATACAGGTTGAACATTTTCTACAGGATTGTTTTATCAGATTATCCAACATTCAATTGATAAAACTCTAAGTAGAAGGCAACTGAACAATTTTAATACTTCAACAGGTCTCAGTGAAAAGGCCTAGACCACTCTTCTGTGCTGTTTTAGAAGATGCCACCTGTAGTTTTTTATACGTATCTGCCCAAAATCTGAGAGGCTTGGATTGTATTACTGACAGTGTGCCTGGTTGGGAAACAAAATTAAGAGTTAAGTAGATAAACTGGCCTTAAATGTCACCCATCTAAAACATGGAATTATTGCTGTCCCCAGGGCAGAAGTCATAGCTGGAGAATTAATTTCAACTCAGTTCAGTTTATTTATAAAGCGCCAAATCACGACAGACGTTGTCTCAGGACACTGAGCAGAAACATTCACATACATTATAAAAGCCAATTAATAAAAACAAGTTAAATCATGTCATATGGGCCAGTTTCTTTAAGTGAAAAACATTTCATCCCCCATCCAGAGGACTTCCTCAGTCTACGGCCTGCCAACCAGATCTGTCCCATAGGTGGCCTTCACTGCTGTGTTTCAAGCCAACCCCTCCTGTTGGAATCTCAGAAGTAGACTTTGAACATGTGCAAACAGGGCCAACCCGTCCAAAACAATCATCATGTACAACAATCAAATGTTTTAGGGCAGATAGCCTAATGATGCTACTCACAGAAACAGCCTGAGGACAACCAGGTGGTTCAGAAAAAGGTTTGTAAGCCTACTTCTGAGATTCCACAGAAGGTTGGCTTGAAACACTGCAGTGAAGGCTACCTACGGGACAGATCTGGTTGGCAGGCCAGACTGAGGAAGTCCTCTGGATGGGAGATAAAATGTTTTTCACAAAGAAACTGGTCCAGATGACACGATTTAACTTGTTGTTGTTGTTGTCCTCTACCTGGATGATTGAGCCTACAAACCTATTTTCCAATTAGGATGCCCAATCAACATGATCTTTACTAAAAGAAGGATTACCAGTATTCTTTCTCCCCCTACAGACTTATACCTTAATGTAAACTAAACCAGTGATAGACAAGGCCAAATGAACCAATCAGATCACTGTAAATAAAGGTAGTGAAATGAGCATCCATTCACTTTTTTCCTCTTATCTGTGGTCGGGTCATAGAGGTAATGGGCCAGCTACTTCTTCCCAGTCCAGAAAGGATTTATATTCTCTCCAGTAAATTCTACATTTGCCTCAGGGTTTCTCTCAGTGGGAATGTCAAGAAGGCATTCTAATCAGATGCCTGAAGAACCTCAGCTGACTGCTTTTGATGAGGAAGAGCAGCTGAGCTCCTCACCCTCTCTAAGGTGGAGCCCTGTCACCTTCTCCTGTATAAAATGCTAATTTTAGCTGCATTGATCCAGGATCTCATTGTTTTACTGCTGATCTATACCATATGACCATGGGTGTTGGAACAAATTCTCTGTCAATTAGGGCATGCTGATGCTTCATTTTTTAAATTTAAATATGAAAAATGGACTTCTGCAGGGGGGCGCACGACGGCACAACTGGTAGAGCTGCTGCCTCTCAGCAAGCAGGTTACACTGGTTCAAATCCCGGGCCGGGGGCCTTTCTGGGTGGAGTTTGCATGTTCTCTCCGTGTGTCACGATCGGGTGGGTGGTTGAGACCCAAATGCAAGCAGGACTCCAACGGTGTCACAAAAAGGTGTTTAATTACAAAAATGCAATAACAAAAATAAAGTGCTGACAGGGCAGCGATACTACTCACGACTCGAGGGAATACTCAGGAAACCATGAAACTAGGAGCCGACCATGAAGGTGTAGCAGGACACTTAATGTTCCCCTCCCTGAGATGCAGCAGAGCTCAGTATATAAAGGTGAGTCACTAATTAAACCCAATCCGCAGCCCCTGACAGTCATTAACTATCTGCACAGGGCAGAGCAGGTGCACATCCCTACTCCGTGCATGTGTGGGTTTTCTCCGGGTACTCCGGTTTCCTCCCACAGATCAAAAACATGCACGTTAGACTGACGGTAACTCTAAATTGTCCCTAGGTGAGAGAGTGAATAGTTGTTTGTCTCCATGTGTCCCTGTGATGGACTGGAGACCTGCCCAGGGTGTTACCCCACCCCCCCACTTCACAGCGATAGTTGGACATGGGCACCAGTGACCCCCCATGACCCTAAAAGGAAGAAGCGGGTAAAAGATAATGAATGGATGGACTTCTGCAGTGATGTTTTAGTCCTCCTTCCCAGGCAGATGCACAATCATTTAAAATTAGAAACAACGACAGACAGATGTGTGTTTGTGAGAATGGGGGTGGGGCATGGAGTATGTGGGCGTTCAACAGTCTGATGACAGGCGGCAGAAAGGAGCCAGGTGGCTCAGTGGTGTTAAGGTGGAGACAGCTCCCAGTACACCAGTCAAGTGAGAATCTGAAACTACCATGTCGTTATTAGAAATTAAGAAAACGTTTAGAGGCAAATCTTCTTCAAAGAACAAGAAAGCCCAACCATAAAGTTCTATCTTATCTGATCTTTATGAAAGACCTCTTAGCTTAGATGAGGTTTGGAATGAGATGCAGAGCTTCCAGCCTCAGTCCAACATGGAGCCACACCGCCATCTCCAGGCTGAAGAATCAAAGAACTGGGACATCGATTAGTGGGATTCAAATGTAAAAGTTTTTAAGATGTGATCAAGTTGTTGCAATTATAATAATATAAACTCAACCACTTCTGTCTTGAAGAAACTTTGGCACAGTTTAATGGCCAATGAATGGGAACTTCAGAACGGACACAAAACCTGAGCTGTGCTGGGCCACGCTTTGTTCTAACTGGGTCATTGTTTGGTTCTGTTGGACATAATAATATGCACGTCACCTTTGGAGTTGTATTCAAATATCTCAGCTCCTCTCTGTCTCAAAACGCCATCATCGTCCAGCCTGTACTGAACATCTCCCAGGCGAGTGATCCTGTCCCTTAGATCATAGCGCAGCGGGGTTAACCGTCCGCTGTTCCCTGGGTTTAGCAGGTGAAGGTTTCCATTCAGGTCGTAGTTATACCTGGAAGGGCAGAAAACATCAGGTTAGCATCAAACATAACAGAAAAAAACCCATGGTCTGTTTTTCAGTTTAAGGAAACATGTCACCTCCACATCAGCTTCTCATTGAGGGAGACCGTCTGCAGTTGTCCATCAACATCATACTCATAACCATATCTGGTTGTGTTGGCAAATGGGCCGATCTTAATCTCACGCTTGGTGACCCGGCCTACGTTGTCATACTGGATAGTGATCCAGTACATCAGAGACCTGAAGATTTCATATTGGATCTCCTTGATGCGGCCATGTTGGTCAAAGTGTTTGGTGTAGGTCATCACAGCTGTGGATATGATCTGACACACACACACACACAAAACAATCATTTCCTTCATTACTCAATGTGTAACATCACTTACATAACACATAATTTTGTTAAAACTTTAACAAGGTTTATGTATCTTCTTCACCAGACGTCTTCAAATAAACTTGAAGGTTGACCTTAAAGTAGCATCTCACTGTGCTGTGGCTGGTGGAGACCAGCTGGTGACTCCGAACTGTGACAAACTGAGAGCAGAGAGGCTCATTTTCTGCTGCAGTCTCACTGAGTCTTTGCAACCAAGTGACCGACAAGCTGTGCAGCAGGTTTTCATAATAAAGACATATTTCTCTCCACTGGCTCCCTGTCAAGTCCAGAATAGAATTCAAAATCTTACTTCTAATCTACAAAGCTCTCAACAACCTAGCTCCATCTTAATGTCCACATTTTGGATCTACTTAATTTGTCTTTAATGGATGGTTATGTACCACAGAGCTTTAAGGTTGCTGTAATTAAACCTTTACTTAAAAAGTCTGACCTTGTTTCAGAATTTCTGGCCAACTATAGACCTATATCTAATCTAACTTTCATCTCAAAAATTCTAGAGAAAATAGTTGCAGGTCAGTTGCGTGAACATCTACAAAGAAATAATCTGAAGAGTTTCAGTCAGGGTTTAGAGCTCATCATAGCACAGAAACAGCACTAGTAAAAGTAACTAATGATATTCTCATGGCCTCAGACAATGGACTTGTGTCTATACTGGTCCTGTTAGACCTCAGTGCTGCATTTGATACAGTTGATCACAATATTTTACTACAGAGGCTTGAATATGATATTAGGATTACAGGAACGACTCTAAAATGGTTTAAATCATATCTATCTGATAGATTCCAGTTTGTAAATGTAAATAATAAATCTTCATACACCAAAGTTAGTCATGGAGTTCCTCAGGGCTGAGTGCTTGGGCCAATACTCTTTACTTTATATATGCTTCCATTAGGTAAAGTTATTAAACAGCATGGGATACATTTTCATTGTTACGCTGATGACACACAATTATATTTGTCCATTAAACCCAATGAATCCAATCAGCTACTTAGACTACAAGCATGTCTTAAAGACATAAAAACCTGGATGACCCTTAATTTTCTCCTGTTGAACAGACAAGACTGAGGTTTTGGTTTTTGGACCTGAGCACCTTAGGAATGAAT